GGGGGACTGTTGCTTTAATGCATCCTTTTAAAATAGTGCATGATTTCACTGTTGTGCTTTTTCAAAATACTTGAAATTTAAAAAAATTCCCATATCTCGCTTAATTTTATTTTAAAATATTTAGGAAACATTATAATTCAAAACTGCAAATAAAATTTAAAACAGATTTTAAAAAATCTTCAAAGAAACAGCTTTGCTTTGAAGCAACAACAGTTAATTAAACTCTTCATGCATCCACACCACTAGGTGTCAGTATAGAATCAAAGACTGCTGGGATAAAGAAGAGTCAGACACAAGGAAATAAGCACACATTAAAATGTAGATGGGTGCCATCAAATTAAATAAACAGGAGAATCTTATGATTCAGACACCAATTCTATTATTTAACATGATCTCAAATCAAATCCTACCTTTCCTCAAAATTGTTTATTTGTTTTTTTTCCTTGTAAATCCTTCACATTTAAAACAGACAAAGGATTAAAACTTCTACTGTCACATAAGGAGAATTGTAGTGATCATAAATAATAGTCATTTTACCCCTGTTGCTCATGTCTAATTGGTTAAACTGATGGTGCTACAGCTCTCACCAGCCTATGCATGTTTAAGTGACATGTGGCTCTGTCCTGTAGGAGATGATGGGGGTTGAAAGGCAGTGCGAGGTGGAGATACTAAAACAGTCCCAAAGAGAGTTACAGTGGGTCCAAAAACAGCTGTCGATCATCTCTAACAGAGCCAATGGCCCAGGCAGTACCAAGGATAAGGTAAGTCTTTGTGTTCATCAAAAAATACACTATAAAAACAGCATAGATGGCATTTTATATAGCCCCTATGGCTGTTTTTTTGTTTGTTTGTTTTTTAGATTAGGTTGATTTAGATTTTAGATTTGAAATAAGAGTTTAATCTGTTATCAGTGTTGTAGTTTTGGTTCAACCGCAGAGCTGTGGTCCAGGCATTATTGGATTAGTCTGTGTCCTGATCATGGTTTGGTTTTCTGAGGACTTGGCTTACTCCTCCATCTGGAGCAAATGCTCACTTCCTCTTGAAACCTTATCCACCCCTCTTTTACCCCACACCCTCCACCTATTCTTTCACAAAAAAATCACTGACTACTTTCTTAAGTCAGTTGATGAGCTTTATACATGTATCGAGACAGCAGTTAGTATCCTGGGAAAAGATTAGTAGCACCTGTGGCATATTTAAATTGCATTCATTTTATGTGCACATCTGACTTAAAGTTAAAAAAAATCTCCAGTTCATTCCTGTGAGATGTTTTGTAAAGCTTGTCTGAGTTAGCAACAGTAACCAAGGTGGGTGGAGCTTAGCAAAAGATCAAATTGTACATACCATTCAGTGTTTTTGTGGCAACGTAGCCATTCAAACGACTCCAGTCTCCTTTTATTTAACAAAGATGAACTCGATCCTTCACTTTAACCTACTACAGTGTTTATACGTTTTCTGCTTCAGATCTGAAGAGGATGGAAATTGCTCACTTATACACAGGGCAAATAACATTTACTTGGCTGGAGTGTTTTAGAGATGTTAATGAGTCCTGCGATGTACTCAGGGTCTAGATGCACTTTTAGAGACAGGATATCAGTGCAGGTTTATATACTAGAGTGTTGCCATATTTGGCTGTGGTTATGCAATTCTAGATATCCCATGAGACAGCAGAGGGCTCTTTTGGGAGAGATTGAGGGAGACGGAGAGAAAGAGGAGAATGACAGCCCTCTTAATAATTACTGCGGTTGCCAGGCAGCAGTCTAATGAGCATCCAAACAAGTCAAGCTTGTTTTCTGTCTAGTTTAAGGGTTATTTCCATGATATTTCTTTCTTGAATCTCATGGTTTTTGCTGGGCACACTGCTGTATTTATGCACAGCATTCATTTGTTTCTGCTGGTATTTTTTAGTAAGTGTGCAATACCGGTGAGGGGCACAGAGGGCAGTCTTGTCCTATTGTTTCATTGCCAAGTCTGGGGAAACCCTGAACTGTCCAAATAATCCTCCTTAATACCTTGCTGCTCCTGCATCCCTGATCTCTGATTGGCCGCTGGGAACGGTCGTGCCACTGCACAGTGGGAGATAAACGATTGGTCGGACTCACTCACTGGTGGAAAGAGTAAGCAAGCACGGAGAAAACGAGAGAGAGAGGGTTCACTGGGTTTCTCACAAGGGATCCTCATTAACAAATCCATCTTCTGCAGTCAAATCATAGATATCTAAGCATGTAATGCACAGAATTATTTACCATTGATGAAGCATGTTCTTTAAGTATTCCCGGATGTAATACATCCACCATGTTGGCATTGTCCTTTGACCTGGATGTTCTTTGATCCATGGCCTCATGCGATAGTGAATTGTCCACTGGTTGCACACAGAATCTCTGTTGAATGGTGCTAATTCAGACATCCTATTTATTTGGTATACTGACTTTTGAATACCTCTGTATATAGCCGTGGTTGTATTTATATGCACAAGAATATTCCTACATTGATCAGATTTGTGTCATTTTCATTATGTAGGTATTATAAAGGCATTAAATGGATAATTCCCCCATTGTAGAAGAACATTTTGTCATCATTTATTCATGTTGTTACAAACCTGTATGACTTTCTTACAAAAGAAGATATATCGAAGAATGTTAACAGTTTTGGTTTCCATTTTAAAATGATTTTCATTTGTGTTCAGCAGAAGAATAAAGTGCATACAGGTTTGGAATGACATGAGGGTGATTTTATGGGTGGACTATCCCTTTAACCTGATTCCCATAACTAGATCAATCCAGTGCTCAGAAGGTGGGACAGAAGTGCCTCTCAAGTGGCATTTAGGCGTCTTTTTTCAGACTGTCTAATGCTGCTCAGAGGTGGCATGAAAGCATTCAGACACCAAATATAACTGTATACGTTACTAGGGCTGAGGTAGGTCAGAGAAGACTTATTGTAGTCTGTTTTTTATGCAGCATTACGTCTTTACACCAAATTTTGAGCCGGCATTACAGAGCAGCCTTAACTTGGCTGTGTAAAGATGCCTATTCCGGTTTCTAGAAATCTGAATGAGACCACTTTCATTTGCCTACTATATCAAGCAGTATTTGGGTCGTGTGAAAACATATTTGTGATATCAATTGTATAGTGAACATTCATTTATATCTGTGTATGTCTGAACAAATTGATTTCTGGGTCATATAGAGAGTGGATAAGTGAGGTATTGAACAAACATATTTTTTTGAGCAAGGAGGAGATTTAACTTTTATGAACGTTAAAAAGTGTCATCATGACCTACAATCCGAAGTATATTGTTATTGTAAGTCACGATAAAACAGACATAGCAACAGATCTTCGGTATTGTGCTGTGCATTCGTGTGAACAGGATTATTGGAAAAAATGTTGTGAAAAATGTCTTCTATCCATCTTTGTTGATTGGTTGTAGGCAGATCTGAACGTGTGATTGCAGTCGATTGTAAGAAAGGAGTGGAGTTTAAGCGGATAAAGTGGTTTAAGTGATAGGAGAAGTCCAGCATATATCATTAGAGAGAGGTCTGCCGTTTTCACCAAAAAGCCGAGTTAGGTTAATTAAACATTATGATGTCTAAAGGAATGAATGAATAAAATAAGTAAATAAATACTAAAATGGGGGAGGAAAGGAGCCAGAGAGAGAATGCAAAAACACCTTATTTGACCTTGTCAGCTCCAGTCATGGCCCTCCAGGGCGGATGGGTGATGCTCACCTGATGGTGCTGAAAATGCAGATGCACAGCATTGGGCATGAGAAACGTGTATTTACATGACAGAGATGTCAAAGTGAAGCAACGCACGACTGTCCTGCTGTTAGCTGCACTGGCTCTGCGCTTGTACGTGCTTCTGTGAGCGTGTGTGAAAGAGAGAGAGAGAGAGAGAATAGGCCATTGGTGTTCACATATCTTCTGCGTTGATCCAGCACACAGATAGCTACAGCCAAAGAGCGCTTAAAGCGCGCGCTAAAGGCATTGCTTCTGCCTAAAATATGAGTCCTCTATCCATAATATTGTGTTCTTCAATGAAAAAGTCAGAATTAGGAGAGAAACCAGCTCAGGACAAGCACCTTTTACAAGCAAAAACAGTCTAAAACAGTTACTGTGAACAAAAACTGTGATGTTTTTATCATGTTTATGTTTATGTTTGGACTCTCATTCTGATGGCACCCATTCACTGCAGGGTAACTATTGGTGAGCAAGAGTTGTAATTTTAAATTTCTCCGAATCTGTTCTGATGAAGAAACAAACGACATCTTGCATGGCCTGAGGGTAAATATTTTTTCAGCAAATGTTCATATTGTTTTTTTAACGTGTATTTACATGACAGAGATGTCAAAGTGAAGCAACGCACGACTGTCCTGCTGTTAGCTGCACTGGCTCTGCGCTTGTACGTGCTTCTGTGAGCGTGTGTGAAAGAGAGAGAGAGAGAATAGGCCATTGGTGTTCACATATCTTCTGCGTTGATCCAGCACACAGATAGCTACAGCCAAAGAGCGCTTAAAGCGCGCGCTAAAGGCAGCGTGTTCGTGTGCTGCGTTCTTCCAGCAGTGTGTGTGTGTGTGTGTGTGTCTGTGTGTGTGAGTGAGTGAGTGAGTGCGCGCGCGCGTGCGGTCTCCTTAGTACCGCCCGCTCGAGCGCTTTTCTCTTCCCGACGGTCGCTAATGAACCGTTTAAAGCCCGGATAGCACGGACAGCGGACCGGAGCCGTCAGCCGCCACTTAATATGACACAGTTGGACGCGGCTGTCTTTCCGGGAATCATCTTTTAACGGAAGAGCGGCGGAAGAGGTAACAGAGTCGCTGTCCATCGCTTGTTTTCGTGCACGCGCTCAGCTGATCTGAGAGCATGTTGTGTTGATAAGGAAGCTATTGGATGTTTTGGTCAGAAATGTTTTTGTAAATGCGTTATGATACGGTTGTTTAGTCGGTTAGATGTTTACGCAGCTGCTTTGGCTGTACATGTCATTATGGCTTGTGCGGTCGTCTGCACTATAACCTTAAAAATACATACAGTAGTCCGCTTAGCTGTATTAAATGAGCTAAAAAACATTATTCAGGATCTTTCTGCCAGTGAAACACATGGCTGTGTTGGGGTACTTTTGTCTAAAGCCATTTTAGATTGCAGCACCGCTGAATGTTTCTCACAGTAGCGTGTACTATTAAAGAGATAGCCCTCTTTTTCTCAGCACTTCTGAGCTCTTTAAACTCCTTCCAGATCTCACTGTCATGTAATCAGTTACAATTCTTTGCTTTGGTAACATTTTAACGTATTTTTAATTTAACAGCCTACAAGTGATAGGTGAGTCTGGAGCTAGTTGTCACAGGGGTTGAATCTCAGTAGCTATGAGATTTTGAGCCAAAAGTCAAATTACACCAATGTGTGTTGTTTTCCCTTTGAATGTTGGATTCTAGTTCAGACTGGGGCTGGGTATCGATTCACATACCTCGATTCGATTTCGATTCTCAATTTTTTGATTACATTCAGTGAATATAGTTTTAATACAAATGCTATTGATATTTCTAAAAAATTAACAGTAAACATCAGTTTACAAATGGTGAATTAATAAAAAGAAATGAAGAACCGCATGCCTGTATTTTAAACCTTTTTTTTTTGTTTGTTTTTTTGTATAGGGCCCTATAAAATGTTCTTAATTTTTCTGGTAATCAGATGAAGGCATAAAACATTAATTTAATTTATCCTAATCCGTTAATCAGATCTTGTTTTAAATGTGTGCTGAAATAAATACTGGA